TAATGAAACAAATTGTGTTCAGTAGGAATAACAAACTGCTTGTTGGATGTGAATTTAATGAAGGCAATTAGGGCACACTCCAAGACACTTCACTGCAGGGTATCATCATCCTAGCCAAGTCTTGATGAGCGAATCCCAATTTATAAGAATTACCTTCATCAATACACATTTCAGGGATGGAAGGAATGCATCAATTTTTGTATAATTCCACTTTGACAAATGACCAGATTTGCTGTTGAACGGAACATTTGTAAGGCAGCTAATGCCTCAGAACTGCTTCAGGGCTGAGAATACCATTTGTATGGCATTATCACATTGAGGGTAACTGGGCCCAGCATTGCGATAATACCAGATAGCTATGACTATTGATGTGCAAAGGAAATTTATGAAATTATTGCAAAATTTAAACACAGTGAATATTAATGAAGAAATAATTGTTCACACTACCTAAATTTATAAAACAAAGTTTTGGTAAAATCTGTCTTAGACGAAATACAAAATTCAGAAATCTGTTTACAATTTTTCTTCCTTAATATAAAAACAACAATCTATGACACATGAATATTTCTACCTAAAAGTCAAGTGAGTCATACTAAGTTTTGCTGTCTTTATGGGTTTTCAGCTGAAGTAGATGATGCGCCAGTATGTGTTTAACTTGGATGCCAATTAAAGTGGAGCACTATGATAGTGAAGAACTGTTTGTATTTTTTTCTAGTATGCATTTTCTCGGAAGTATCCAACTGTAACGTGTGGAGGGCACCTGATGACCTACACAGTCTGACATTTGTACACCTGACCTACACAGTCTGACATCTGTACACCTGACCTACACAGTCTGACATCTGTACACCTGACCTACACAGCCTGACATCTGTACACCTGACCTACACAGCCTGACATCTGTACACCTGACCTGCACAGTCTGACATCTTTACATCTGACCTATACAGTCTGACATCTGTACACCTGACCTACACAGTCTGACATCTGTACATAGTACACCTGACCTACACAGTCTAACATCTGTACACCTGACCTGCACAGTCTGACATCTGTACACCTGACCTACACAGTCTGACATCTGTCCACCTGACCTACACAGTCTGACATCTGTACCCCTGACCTACACAGTCTGACATTTGTACACCTGACCTACACAGTCTGACATCCGTACACCTGACCTACACAGCCTGACATCTGTACCCCTGACCTGCACAGTCTGACATCTTTACATCTGAACTATACAGTCTGACATCTGTACACCTGCCCTACACAGTCTGACATCTGTACACCTGCCCTACAGTCTGACATCTGTACACATGACCAACACAGTCTGAAATCTGTACACCTGACCTGAACAGTCTGACATCTGTACACCTGACCTACGCAGTCTTACATCTGTACATAGTACACCTGACCTACACAGGCTAACATCTGTACACCTGACCTGCACAGTCTGACATCTTTACATCTGAACTATACAGTCTGACATCTGTACACCTGCCCTACAGTCTGACATCTGTACACATGACCAACACAGTCGGACAACTGCTACACAGTCTGACATCTGTACACCTGACATACACAGTCTGACATCTGTACATAGTACACCTGACCTCCACAGTCTAACATCTGTACACCTGCCCTGCACAGTCTGACATCTGTACACCTGACCAACATAGTCTGAAATCTGTACACCTGACCTGCACAGTCTGACATCTGTACCCCTGACCTACACAGTCTGACATTTGTACACCTGACCTACACAGTCTGACATCCGTACACCTGACCTACACAGCCTGACATCTGTCCACCTGACCTACACAGTCTGACATCTGTACACCTGACCTACAGTCTGACATCTGTACACATGACCAACACAGTCGGACAACTGTACACCTGACCTACACAGTCTGACATATGTACACCTGACCTACACAGTCTGACATCTGTACACCTGACCTACACAGTCTGACATCTGAACACCTGACCTACACAGTCTGACATCTGTACTCCTGACCTACACAGTCTGACATCTGTACAACTGACCTACACAGTCTGACATCTGTACACCTGACCTCCACAGTCTGACATCTGTACACCTGACCTACACAGGCTGACATCTGTACACCTGAACTACACAGCCTGACATCTGTACACCTGACCTACACAGTCTGACATCTGAACACCTGACCTACACAGTCTGACATCTGTACGCCTGACCTACACAGTCTGACATCTGTACACCTGACCTACACAGTCTGACATCTGTACACCTGAACTGGATGGTTCACTCCACACTGTTGTACTTTATGTTGGATGATGTGGTGTGTATTTCCATGACTATATTACATATACAAACTGTGCCCGTATGTTTAATGTAACAGATAGTCTTAGTGTGACAATCTGTATGATGTGAATATCAGGCAAAATACCGCTATTAACGTTTATAAGTGTATAATTCTATGAACAATAGTGTATATAAACCTTGTACAAACCCCAGTATGTTACTCTCTCCTGTACAATAGTGTATACATGTTACTCTCTCCTGTACAAAAATGTATACATGTTGCTCTCCTGTACAATAGTGTATACATGTTACTCTCTCCTGTACAACAGTGTATACATGTTACTCTCTCCTGTACAATAGTGTCTACATGTTACTCTCTCCTGTACAATAGTGTATACATCTTACTCTCTCCTGTACAATAGTGTATACGTGTTACTCTCTCCTGTATAATAGTGTATACGTGTTACTCTCTCCTGTACAATAGTGTATACATGTTACTCTCTCCTGTACAACATTGTATACGTGTAACTCTGTCCTGTACAAAAATGTATACATGTTACTCTCCTGTACAATAGAGTATACATGTTACTCTCTCATGTACAATAGTGTATACATGTTACTATCCTGTACAATAGTGTATACATGTTTCTCTCTCCTGTACAATAGTGTATACGTGTTACTCTCTCCTGTACAACAGTGTATACGTGTTACTCTCTCCTGTACAACATTGTATACGTGTAACTCTCTCCTGTACAAAAATGTATACATGTTACTCTCTCCTGTACAATAGTGTATACGTGTTACTCTCTCCTGGACAACAGTGTATACATGTTTCTCTCCTGTACAATTGTGTATACATGTTACCCTCCTGTACAATAGTGAATACATGTTACTCTCCTGTACAATGGTGTATTCTTGTTACTCTCTCCTGCACAACAGTGTATACATTTTACTCTCTCCTGTAAAATAGTGTATACGTGTTTCTCTCTCCTGTACAACGGTGTATACATGTTACCCTCCTGTACAATAGTGAATACATGTTACTCTCCTGTACAACAGTGTATACATGTTACTCTCTCCTGTACAACATTGTATACGTGTAACTCTCTCCTGTACAATAGTGTATACATGTTACTCTCTCCTGTACAATAGTGTACACATGTTACTCTCTCCTGTACAACAGTGTATACATGTTCCTCTCTCCTGTACAATAGTGTATACATGTTACTCTCTCCTGTACAAAAGTGTACACATGTTACTCTCTCCCGTACAACAGTGTATACATGTTCCTCTCTCCTGTACAATAGTGTACACATGTTTCTCTCTCCTGTACAACAGTGTATGCATGTTACTCTCTCCTATACAATAGTGTATACATGTTAATCTCCTGTACAACACTGTATACATGTTACTCTCTCCGGTACAATAGTGCATACTTGTTACTCTCTCATGTACAATAGTGTATACATGTTCCTCTCTCCGGTACAATAGTGTATACATGTTCCTCTCTCCGGTACAATAGTGTATACATGTTACTATCTCCTGTACAATAGTGTATACATGTGACTCTCTCCTGTACAATAGTGAATACATGTTACTCTCTCCTGTACCATAGTGTATACACGGCACTCTCTCCTGTACAATAGTGGACACATGTTACTCTCTCCTGTACCATAGTGTATACACGGCACTCTCTCCTGTACAATAGTGGATACTTGTTACTCTCTCATGTACAATAGTGTATACATGTCACTCTCTTGTACAATAGTGTATACGTGTCACTCTCTCCTGTACAATAGTGGATACTTGTTACTCTCTCATGTACAATAGTGTATACATGTTTCTCTCCTGTACAATAGTGTACACATGTTTCTCTCTCCTGTACAACAGTGTATACGTGTTACTCTCCTGTACAATAGAGTATACATGTTACTCACTCCTGTACAACAGTGTATACATGTTACTCTCTCCTGTACAATAGTGCATACTTGTTACTCTCTCATGTACAACAGTGTATACATGTTACTCTCCTGTACAATAGTGTATACGTGTAACTCTCTCCTGTACAATAGTGTATACATGTTACTCTCCTGTACAACAGTGTATACATGTTACTCTCCTGTACAACAGAGTGGGGGTGGGAATATCACTCCAGACAACACTGTATATCATTTACATTAGTTTGAGCATAGTTGATTGCCAAGTTTGATTTAAAGTTGTTTTAATGTTAACATTGTTTGTACTGTGTTTTATGATAAGGCAGAGTTGACATTTCAGTCTTGCCATATTACAATAAAGCAATGTATCGACCTATGTTTACGGAATATTTGGTCATTTCAGAAGAGATGATTCATTGGTCCATAAGAATCCATAATAAGCTTATAAAAGTTCTATAGTTATATTTATATATTTGTTGTATATACTTATAATATCTCTGTACCATTTAGATCACCAAGACGCTTGTGCTATATGCAAGTTCTATATTTGTTATAGAGCTGACACAGTTACATGCATCTTTCTGCAGACGTAATGGAAACATATTTTTTTTGTAGGATTTCATAAAAATAAAATATTATATATACATTTCTGAAATAAATAATCAGTCGTTATCATATTGCACAAATAAATATACCACGTCACAAAAGGTTGGTCAAAAGCTATCAGTCATATGTATGAACCAATCAGAAAGTGTGTTACAAGCAATACTAACCAGTCATGTACTGCGTTAAAGGATTCCTCGTTTGTGACATCGTACATTAGTATAAATCCCATAGCACCCCGATAGTACGCTGTTGTTATCGTTCTGTATCTTTCCTGGCCAGCTGTGTCCTGTAACAAAACAAAAATATATTTACAAGCTAAAAATGATAGAAGTATTACAAACAAATAACAAAAGGCCTATTGAGCCTGATTCGCTTACCTGTTATTCAATGCTGTGTGAAAACATCTCACATATGGGACCTTCAAGGTGTGTCAAGATCAATTTCTAAATATAAACCTGATAGCATTAAGAAAAGTAACTCTACCGATTACATAACATTACTCTAAATCTTCTCAAGTTTCGATGGAAAAACGGAAAATTTGTTTCACTATATAATCAAATCCAAGGGTTCTTTCTTCTCTGCACTGTTGGAATGTGTCATGACAAATTCGAAAGGTCAGGGTTATGTAAAAGATGTGCACTGATTGGTTGCCTTACAAGCGTCAGCCCTTAAGCTCAGCGGTAGAGCATCAGGCTGGAGAGCCAAGGGTCATGGGTTCGAGCCCCTGGCAGCGACGGCACCATCTTTATGAATATTCCTTGTCCTACTACAAACTTGTGCCATTGACTCTCCCCGTTCAAGGTAGTAGAGTCCTTGGCGGGGGTCAAAGAACCTGGGTTGGTGTTTGAAAAAAGGGGGGAATAGAGTAAAAGATGTGCATTGATTGGTTGCCTTACAAGTGTCAGCTGTAGGAAATTTTCCTTTAGCTCAGCGGTAGAGCATCGGGAGCCAAGGTTCGGTTCGAGCCCCAGCAACAGCACTATCTTTATCAATATTCTTCGTCCTACTACATTTAGCCATTCGATTAGTTTCATACATAAAGAACTGACCAATCACCAAGCTGATTTCTGTCCTTTGAAGATATAAATATTGTTACTCTAAACTTCATAAATCTAGATTATTTGAAGATTTCAATGCTCTGAACACCTGCAAGTTTTATCACTCCAGTATTAAAACAGCAGTGTAACTCCAAAGGTAATATAAATATTGAGTAATTTACCCCATCTGTTATCCAGGCTCATAGATTTTATCTTTCTGGCAAAATCATGCCAAGAAAATTTAATGAAAACAAAAAATTCAAATTTAAGGAATTGACTAAAAAAATATTAAGCACAATTATTGTTGTACACCTGTAACTTAAACTCAACAATACCTGAAACAGTTCAACAATGACTGGTAGCAAAGTGACAGAAGTTAACCGAAGATCAGGAATATGTAGGTAGTCATCCAGTGACCATTATTGTGATACACTACGATGGAGATCTGATTACATTTACAAGTGCTACGTTGAATTTGTTCACAGAAGTGGAAAGAGCTAAACAATATTCGTCTGATCTGATGAAAGTTGAGTACTTCTGCAACCACATAAAACTACCACACCTGACAATGGCTACATTCAGGATACACCAAGTGTTAGGATCACACACCAAATTACCCATCCCTTTGTAAAACTACTCATACAAAAGCTGACTTAAAAGCAACCAGTCTATAAATATAACCTTCAACTGATTTCCGTTTTAACAGCAAGAGGTCAAAAGGACCTGTATCATTCACCTGGATATTTAAGCAATCATGACCAAATATTCTCAATAAAAGTAATAATGAATTGATGTCTCCAGGGACAGGGAGATTATTCTGGTATCATGACAGTGTTTGTCTTTTTGTGCCCAGCAAGCACATATGTGGTTACAGGGCAGTTATCTCAATCATTGCAAGTTAATGAAGAAAACCTTTTGTTTTCAATAGTAGGTATCACAACTGGATGTCACAATTCTAAGAGATCATGTCCAGCAAGGTCAATCATATGCAACCAACTTGACATTGACAGGTCAACAAGGACCAAGCCATGTGCGTGAGCTCCCCCCATTTTATTTACTTTCGGAAAATAAACATGTAATTTCACTTTACCGTCCCAACATAATCTTATATTTTGGAAGTAGATACTGGCTAGCTTTTTATTTGTTTATTTCAGGTCATGTGACAGATCAATTAAAGGGATAGTTTATCAGGTCTGGCACAGTGGTGTTTAGAAATGGAGATTATGGTATAATACACTTAGCTAAGTGATAGCTCTTTACCAGGTCACAGATAATTTCTGAATTCGGTGTCTGACAAGTGAGCATTGTGACAAGAACTTTGTGCAATGTGGTTATATTAAGTAATTTACATTGTTGGAGCCAGCCATTTACTTGACAGCTCACAATATTATATATACATTATACATTTAATACAGCCGTGACCACATCATGCGAAAACTTAATAAAAATTTCCATATCAATATTAACAATAAACTAAATCAAATTTGGAATCCTATGTTTTGTGTGTTATTTATTAGCTTATACCATATTCAACCTGATAAGTTCACTATGCGATCAAACAAGAGGCCCAGAGGGCCTGTATCGCTCACCTGGATATCTAAGCAATCCCGGCAAAATATTCCCCAAATGACATCCAAGGGAATATGCCAGACCCCAAGGCCAATCCTTGTAGATATCTGTATACATTTTTCATGCCCAGCAATTTTATGTATGGTTATGGGGTGGGGATCTCAACTGTTTCCAAGCTGTGACTCAGACACTAGGTCCATAGGGTTGAGGCCAGACCCCAGGATCAATTCTAATATCATGACTGCATTTGTCTCCTTATGCCCAGCATTTGTATTTCTTGTTTTGGGGTGGAGATCTCAACCGTTTCAAAGTTATGACCCAGGAACTATGTCTCCAAGGGTGGGGCCAGACCCTAGGGCCATCCTAGAAGCAAATGTGCATTCTTCGCTTTATACTCAGCAATTGTATACATGTATATGGTTATACGGTGGGGATCTCAACCATTTCCAGCCCCACCATTTGTACAATTTTAAATCCCTGCCTCCCATGAATGCTTCTGACCAAATATGATAAATATCCAAGGTACAGTTCTACAGAAGAAGTCGTTTATATAGCAATATAGCCAAATTGCCCACCATTTGTACAATTTTGAATCCCTGCCTCCAATGAATGCTTCTGACCAAATATGATCAATATCCATGGCACAGTTCTACAGAAGAAGTCGTTTATAGCAATATAGCCAAATTCCCCCGTTTTGGCCCCGCCCCTCAGCCCCCTTAGGAGTCAGCCCCACCATTTGTACAATTTTGAATCCCAACCACCTAGGGATACTTCCAGTCAAATATGGTTGATATCCATCTCTTAGTTCCAGAAAAGAAGTCGTTTAAAATAATATAGTCAAATTGCCCCCTTTCAGCCCCACCCCTCAGCCCTCTGGGGGGTCAGCCCCACCATTTGTACAATTTTGAATCCCAACCACCTAGGGATGCTTCCAGTCAAATATGGTTGATATCCATTTCTCAGTTCCGGAGAAGATGTCGCTTAAAGCAATATAGCCAAATTGCCCCCATTTGGCCCTGCCCCCAAGTCCTCTGGGTGGTCAGCCCCACCATTTGTACAATTTTGAATCCCCACCACCTAGGGATGCTTCTGGTCAAATTAGTTAAATTCCAATCAGTGGTTAAGAAGAAGAAGTCGTTCAAAAACATTGTTGACGTACGGATGCCACAGTATGGCATAAGCTAACCTTGGTCCTTCGGACCAGGTGAGCTAAAAATACAAGAAGGGATGCATTCAATAAACCTTCCATGATCAAACTGGTCGAAACTGGCCATGGTCATATGTGTTCAGACCTGCCGAAACCTCAGGCTGCCCAGACTTGTTTACTGTTGCCATGTTGTCTCTATGGAAGTGAGTCATGTATTTGCAGTTTTGTGGCAACTGAAGTTCCTGTTCAAAATGGATGCTGGTCATGTTTCAGGGAAAAATAACAATATTGTGGGAGTTTTTCCAAGACAATCGTGACTGTCAACGTGATCACTGAAAAACAATGGCAGACAGCACAGACTCATGGGGTTAGGGACAAAAAAACAGAATCAGAAATGACAAAAAAACCCATTTTGGATTGAATAATGGAACCCATATTGACCAGACAGGATGATTAAGTAAGCGGTAATGAAAACGATCAGTTTTGGATCAGTTGAACTTGAAACATTTGTGCAATCTATTCAAAGGGTAAATCATATAACAGTACAATTCAAAGGGTAAATCATATAACTTTACAGAGACAATTGGCCAAATATTGCATCAGAAAATGATGCCAGACCACAGGCTTATAATGCCTAGTAATTTTAACACTAGTGGCACAAAGTCTTTGGTCAAATGATTGAATATAATATTTGCAGATCAGTGAGGTAGGCACACGGACACGTGATGATTTCAGAACAAAGAACAGGGAGATTTCTCTCCAACTGGTAGGGACAATGAGTTTGTGATAGGGAGATTTTCATTCTCTCCTACTGGTAGGGACAATGAGTTTGTGGTAGGGAGATTTTAATTCTCTCCTACTGGTAGGGACAAAGAGTTTGTGGAGGAGATTTTTATTCTCTCCTACTGGTAGGGACAAAGAGTTTGTGGTAGGGAGATTTTAATTCTCTCCTACTGGTGGGGACAATGAGTTTGTGCTAGGGAGATTTGTATTCTCTCCTAGTGGTAGGGACAATGAGTTTGTGATAGGAAGATTTTAATTCTCTCCTACTGGTAGGGACAATGAGTTTGTGGAGGAGATTTTTATTCTCTCCTAGTGGTAGGGACAATGAGTTTGTGGTAGGGAGATTTGTATTCTCTCCTTCAGGAAGGGACAATGAGTTTGTGGTAGGGAGATTTTTATTCTCTCCTGCTGGTAGGGACAATGAGTTTGTGGAGGAGATTTTTATTCTCTCCTAGTGGTAGGGACAATGAGTTTGTGGTAGGGAGATTTTTATTCTCTCCTTCAGGTAGGGACAATGAGTTTGTGGTGATATTTTTATTCTCTCCTACTGGTAGGGACAATGAGTTTGTGGTGAGATTTTTATTCTCTCCTTCAGGTAGGCACAATGAGTTTGCGGTAGAGAGATTTTTATTCTCTTCTTCTGGTAAGGACAATGAGTTTGTGGTAGGTAGATTTTTATTCTCTCCTACTGGTAGGGACAATGAGTTTGTGGTAGGGAGATTTTTATTCTCTCCTTCAGGTAGGGACAATGAATTTGTGGTGATATTTTTATTCTCTTCTTATGGTAAGGACAATGAGTTTGTGGTTGGTAGATTTTTATTCTCTCCTACTGGTAGGGACAATGAGTTTAGGATAGGGAGTTTTATGCAAAAATTAGCAAAACATACACATCGTAAGTAGAAAAACTCTTAATACTTGTAACGTTACCAACCAGACGTGGGTTACTTGCATGATCAGCAAGAAGGTGACAGCTTGTAAATTTAGAGTAAGTGACATGCTGTTAGTGCACACAGATCAGGTAAAATGGGCCTCCAATAATGGAGTTTTGCAGTTTTCAGTTCCATTTTACTTTTTGTTGTTGTTGTTGTTGTTGTTGAGATTTACTGATTTCAATCTTGCTTTTAGATACAACGGAATAGGTTGGTGTAGCACATACCAGTGTAAAGCTATAGCTATTATATCTTCCTGAAAAGAAATTGTTAAGTTTAAATATTGAAAAGAATATATTACCCAACCTACATTATTATCATATTGTCATTTGATATGTTAATTGTTATGTGTAATAAAAATTCTGTGGAACAGCTGTTTCTATCTGCCACGACGTGGGTGGTTACGCAGGTTTGTTTTCTATTGATTGAATAGTATGACTTTTGTCTTTTGAAAATAGAATAATTTGAATAACTCTTCATTTGACATTACTTCACCATCAAAACAATTATACACGCTAAGAAGACATATCATTTCCCATTACAGCCGATATTATCTGTTAATCCTCCTACTTCACTACCATTGTTAAGTTTCATTACGTTGGTTTTCCTCTGAATCAACTCTCTGGTAGGACGTTAGAAAACAATTCATATGTTCACACTAAGCCCCCTCGCCTCTACTTTGACCTACACATCGTGGTGTCAGAGGTTGACACATTTCTGAACTGTTCCTCAATGCATGGTACAGTGTTCCGACAGGAACGTCATGACATACAACGGTGTGACAGGATCCTTCTCTACATTTACGTATGTTACGTACCGATCAGTGTCTACATTTAACACTGAAGGTAATGTTCTACATTATTATTCTACAATAAGACCAAAAGATTATTCTCTTCATTAAATAACAACGATCAATATCTACATTAAACACCAATATTGACTGTCATCTTATATTATTAATGAGACACACAAGATTAATTTCTGGTGGTCCAATATTAATGGAAGAAAGCACAAATTAGTCCGAGGAGCTATCATATATACATACAAACAGGTATATATATCTACCACACAGAAGTCTTTTTGAGCCACAAAATATTCGTGCTTTACTTAATCCAGCAAATAAATAAGTTTTTAATTTGAAATGGTGTTACACATAACTGTGTATACATATTACAGAAGGCCGAGATCATTTCTACATTGCTGAGAAGGTCACTGTGAGTTGACTCCAGTAGGTGGCTGGGATCGGTGTTGTAGAACTGTTACTCTACATGTGTTGCCGACTGTCTTATGTACAGGTGTACATGTATACGTGGGTGTATATAAAAACTCCATGGATCAACAACTTCATTGAAGTATAGATTTTCTATTTTTGGTCTGAATTATTAAGTTTCTTCTCAAATGTCATGATCAGAAATGCAAAATATTACCAAAATACTTTAACTTACCATAAATTTATCCCAAAATAGATTTAAATATGGAAACATTTCAAACATTCTACTTAATAGATTAAAATATGGAAAAGAAATTTAAGTTCCACTGAAGATATCTAACTATGGACAAGTTCCAAGGTTTCACTATATTACTCACAAACAAACAATGGGGAAAACTGTCATGTCTTAGATGCGACATGTTTTGTACCTGTTGTGTCTTTTGTTAATGCAGTAATACACAAGAGGCCCAAATGGCCTGTATTGATCACCTAGATATTTTAGACATCATTGCAAAATAACCTCATTAAAATCTATATGCATAGCAATGGTGCATATAGTTACAGGGTGGGAATCTCAACTGTGTTCATGAAATGACCCAATGACTAAATCCCTAGGGGTGTGGCGATCTGACTCAAGGGTCAATTCTAATATCATGATTGATTAGTCTCTTCATGCCCATGTTTTTGGGGTGGGCATTTCAACCATTTCAAAGTTATGACACTGGGACTAAATCTTCTGAGACGGGGTCAGACCTGAGGACCATCTTTGCGTCAAATGTGTTGTTGTTTCTTTATTCTCAACAATTGTACCTCAACAATATGTGCAGGTGCTTATTGGTTGGGGATCTTAACCATTTCTAAGTTATAACCTCTGTATTGCCCATTCCCTCAGCTGTTTGGGTAAACTCTTCAATTTATAAAATGTGAATCCCTGTCACCTGAAGATGTTTCCAACCAATTATGGCTGGTATCCATATGAGGAGAAGTTGCTTGAAAGCAATAGGACCAAATTAACACTTCTGTCCTGCACCTCAGCCTTTTGGGGGGGGGGGGGGGGGTTAAAACTAAAAACTAAAGGATGGACCTTTATATACCTCATGTAATGCGGACAACTAAAGGGTGGAGCTTTACATACCTCATGTAATGCGGACAACTAAAGGGTGGAGCTTTATATACCTCATGTAATGAGGACAACTAAAGGGTGGAGCTTTATCTACCTCATATAATGAGGACAACTAAAGGGTGGAGCTTTATCTACCTCATGTAATGAGTACAACTAAAGGGTGGAGCTTTATCTACCTCATATAATGAGGACAACTAAAGGGTGGAGCTTTATCTACCTCATGTAATGAGGACAACTAAAGGGTGGAGCTTTACATACCTCATGTAATTCGGACAACTAAAGGGTGGATCTTTATATACCTCATGTAATGAGGACAACTAAAGGGAAGAGCTTTACATACATCATGTAATGAGGACAACTAAAGGGTGGAGCTTTACATACCTCATGTAATTCGGACAACTAAAGGGTGGATCTTTATATACCTCATGTAATGAGGACAACTAAAGGGAAGAGCTTTACATACATCATGTAATGAGGACAACTAAAGGGTGGAGCTTTACATACCTCATGTAATGAGTACAACTAAAGGGTAGAGCTTTATATACCTCATGTAATGAGTACAACTAAAGGGAAGAGCTTTACATACCTCATGTAATGAGTACAACTAAAGGGTGGAGCTTTATATACCTCATGTAATGAGGACAACTAAAGGGTAGAGCTTTACATACCTCATGTTATGAGTACAACTAAAGGGTGGAGCTTTACATACCTCATGTAATGAGTACAACTAAAGGGTGGAGCTTTACATACCTCATGTAATGAGGACAACTAAAGGGTAGAGCTTTACATACCTCATGTAATGAGGACAACTAAAGGGCTTGGTCCCTCTTAGGGGAAATCTGCCAACGCCTAGGTGTTGAAAACACCACCAATCAGAGAATGTGTTATACTCAACACCTGATCTGACAACAATCATGGTTGATTGGCTATACTAAATTAATTTCCTCTTCACAAATGATTTTACTTGATGATGCCCTTTGTAAAGCCGGTGAGAGCTATTTTTACCACAGAGAAATGGCGGCCGTACATCCATTACTTACACACCAGTATATATAACGGCAGGTTTATGTGCCAGGTTTAGCCGAAACAATTAGGATTGATCCAGTCACGCAAAAGTAGGGTTTGGTTCAAACAACTGTACACTGCCTCATAGTCTAACAGAGATGGGGATCAATAGAACCCTACATACGCAGTAGCGATTTTTACTGACAGAATTCAGCTTTGGAGTCCTTGCCCACACAATTACAGGGGCAGGGTGGATGATTGTTGTAAATGGATGCTTTAATGATTAAACCTAAAGTTTCAGACACAGATATTTCTGAAATTTTTTAATTACTTCAACACATTATTTGAAACAACTATTTTTAAAGGACATTTTATTCTAGACACTGAAATAATTATGTTTGCCCCTATAGACATCCTGACATTATGTTTGTCCCTATAGACACCCTGACATTATGTTTGTCCCTATAGACACCCTGACATTATGTGGTCCCTATTGACACTCTGACCTAATTATGTTTTTTCACTATATACACCTAGACATAATGACATCAGACCAAACACATCCTGATATAATAATGTTAGACCCAAAACACCTGAACAATAATCTAGACACCTTAATGTTTGATTGTATAATAGTTTGCGTGTCATTGTATAATTATTTCTGCAATGAACGGAAGCTAAAAATATAAACAGTACTTACCCAGATTTGTAGTTTTACTCTTTTGTCCTGCCGAAACACTGTTTTTACTTTGAAATCTATGCCCACTGTACTAACAAACGCAGATGTGAAAGAGTCATCAGCATATCTAAACAAGAATGACGTTTTACCCACACTACTGTTTCCAATAATGAGTAGTTTGAACATATAGTCAAAGTTCTGGTCTGCAGCATCCTTCTGCCATTTTGAATCGTTTGCCGAAGCCATCTGCAATGAAAGCAAAACCAAATATTAAATGAATATACACGTAACAATACCCTGTATATAAATATACATTAAAATATATGCTGTTAAACTTTGGAAATAATTCATTTCGCCTGAAGAGACATAAGACATTGTTGACCACTGAACTGTTACTGATACTCCATGCGTCAACTTTCTCAGTATATTCTAATCCCTTATAGTTGAACACACACAGTATCATTGGTCAACGATGCAGTCAGGTGTAAATATAGCTTCAGTTTACGCTACCTGTGGGGTTTATTGTTTTTAATTATAAATCATATCTTGTTTTGTTTTTATTTTGTTCCTATGTAAAGTGTACTGTGTTTCTCTGTGTCTCGACAAAGGACCGGAATGCTTTGAAAATTTGACAACCTTTTATTGTATACGCTTTTGGAATTACATCTTTGCCCCATATATAGTCTTTTCCTGAAACACAAAGATAAGGACAAATATCATCGTTTGAAGCCTTATGATCTTTAGAAAAAGTTGTATGTCAATTTTAACACTAGCTTTCACACCTGTGACTGGAAGTGAATAAGAATCACTTATTTGAACAACCTTGACAGCCTTTCATGTCGGCATGCTTCAGGTCGGATGTCTGATGATTTTAAGTCGTTTATCTCTCAGACTTTGTTGATAGTTCAAGGTCATTTATATTTACAAACTTGATATCATTCATGGATCTTTATAAGAAGCCATTTGAAGATTTTTTTGTGCATTTGATCCACACAAATTTTAATGTGAATCAAGGTAATCAAGGAATTAAGCATGTAACAGTCAAAATATCATGACACCTCTTGATTATTCAGAAGTAGTTATAAGATTTTGACACATTTGACCTCTGTATAAGAAGGACAAAGTATTTGTTTGAACAGAGAATATTCCTCCTTCACCCCAGCATGATACTGGGCATAAAATTATTTCCTATCACCACTTGTCATTTAGGTGAAATCTTTTAAAGAAAATAAATGACGGACAAACAGACATCATGCCAATGACACATGATCTGTGCCAGCTGCAAAATCACTTATAACGAAAGGGACAATCCATATTTATATGTTACAGGCAAAATTGCTTTAATTGACATGATGTGTCAAACATTTTATAACCTTTCTTATAAAGATGAATTTGAAATAAGGCTATTCCTATTACATACAGTAGTAAAGATTTAACAAGAGTACCCCAGGGGCAGAATACTACATGCCCATCCAATGTCACACAGAGATTTTGTTCAACTTTGAACTTACCGTATTTATCCTGCAATAAACCCAGGGGACCAACATAATCTCTGACTGAAAGTAGGGGGATGGGCTTATTAATGGAAAATGAAAAAGCTTTCATTCCACTAATATATTTATAAACACACCATTCCATCTAGTTGCAATACATGTATACATTGCTGAATAAATATGGTAGCCTTTTTATAATACAAATATTGAACAAATTTCATCAGAATCCAGTCAAGTTAATGTGCAGAAACTGTCAACCAATAAAAGCTAGTGTGCTAATTAAATATGCACATATCTTGCTCAAATTGTAGTTGAGTCTTCAGCTTTGTCTACTTAACATGCTTACCAAGTTTTATCAAATTTGAATGATATTTGAGTAATTTATTTGCGGAAATAAAAAATTCATTGTAAATCTCATTAAATATTTTGACAGGCATATAAACGAGTATTACAAGGATAAAACCAAAAAGCCCTGGAGAGTGTACAGGTGATCAGTTTAATCTATGTAGATTAAATCAATTGTGGACATTTACTCAAAATGTGTTGCCGTCATTCAACCGAGTCGTATTGACCTTTTAGGCCTGAGGTGTCACTGATACCTATACAAGGTATATATATACCTCATTTCGATAGGTTCAATGTAGCTAAACCAAGCGAGACACAACATCTGTTGTATATAATTATAAATCAGATAAAAATCAGGTCAATGTCCACTTTTAAATCATCGACTTGCACTATCGTTGTAAAGGGTTCATTCCACTACATATTGATCAATAAACCATAATTATACTGTATATAGTGATAGGCAAAGGGATAATCAATATATCACTTAAGATTCACTTATTTTTGCATCACATTAGGCTAAAACGGGTCCATTTTACTTATAAGGTATGCAGAAAATACAACATGATGGCGAACCTCTACACCAGACAGTTTAAAATTGATCAGCTGTTGTGCGGCCAAAGCAAATGTGTGTACTCAGCAGATTTTTGAGGCTAATTATATTACTAACTAGCAGGAGAAGTTCTAAAGCGATCAGAAAGGTGTCAAGAATCTCATTATATATATTGTATGCAAAAACAGAAAATTGTGTCAAATCTACATAAATAATAATGCTGAATACATCTACGACTTGTATCTTAATTAGTTAGCTGTCATAATAATCCTTCAAGCTATCGGGATAAAGAACATTTATAAAAATGTATCAAACCTTTAAAATATTAAACATAGAATTAAAATGTCACATTTTTCATGATGTTCAAGAAAATAATGATAAGCATTGTGATATTAATTTATCTATGATATCTACACCTGGACATATCTACCAAAAAGATGGAGGCTATTTAACGACCGCTCAAACATACAAATATTGACTTAACGCAGTTTCCTTGTCAATAAGAACAACGTGAATTAATTAATTGAGAAGCAATAAGAGAGAAAGGTGCATCGCCATGGCAAAGTGTGTGAGATAGAAACATTACCGTGGCGTCGCCAGGCTGTGGTAGGAGAGCCATGATGAGGATACAGAGAGAGAGCTGACACAGGTGTTAGAGAGAAGGAAAACCTTACGGGTCCACTACAGCCCGCTTATCACTACCCAAAGTCTCCACAAAACGGGAGCAGCTTCCTTGTAGCACCACCACCAGGAACCACAGACAAGCCTGCGTAGTGAGGTTAAACACACACAACCTTTAGATACTGTACACAGCTACCGGTCTGAAATCAAAGATGGCTTCCTCCACTTCGTCAGGTTCATTGGTCATAATATATGCCTGAAGATAGCATCACGAAAATCAATATTGAAAAATCTAATAATAATGTTCTCCTTGTGCAACCTTTAGCATCCTAACTTTAACCTACACCTCAGTGAACCTGACCGTACACAGACACACATAATTTGTTATAAACAGGGTCAGCTTTTACTGCGATGACCAATATAGAAAATGGAACCAACAGTAAGAGAGAAAGATGACTATTACATACACTGATCCAGAGGATACAAATTAAGGTGTCTTACCTGCTCTGAGGGAATGTGATATATCAACAGTAACACAACTGTTGTCTACTTATGACAGAATCGGTGACAGAAGTCCAGTGTTATGTACAGCTGTGACAGGGATTTGATGTTGAGACCTTCACACTGTTACAGCCTCCACTCACCCACAACCACCACTTTACAAGTGCTGTGACTATAGCCGGATGGTGGGGAAGCAGAAAATCTATAATATTGGCAAAACCACACAGGGATCGTTTCAAAACCCAAACAGTGTTGGACCAGGGGCTAAATAATTCACTAAACATGTACATAAAGGATGAGTATTCACCAGTAACATTACTTTTAGTTCATTATCGGTGTATAGAAAGTGTTGTATGTATTCATACATTAGCTGATCCTACCCCTTGACTGGATGAAAAGCTGTAGTATCCAGGCTAGCAGTTTACCTGAGTGGGTTTTATGTGTGTAATATATTAGGTCTATATCTGCTCCAAATCATACCAATCCAATACGGCTTCTGTTACGAACTTCAGTAGTAAAGTGCCCCTGAGATAATTACAAGATACAAAACATGAAATATTAAAAACAAAAATTAACGTTCTTGAACCAAAATCATTTCACACTTCATGATTTGAAAATCATCCAATTTATTTTTTGAGGCTAACTACTACCAGATTCAAAGGGAAGCCAACTGGATTTATTTTGACCTCTTTTGCATCACATCAAGGATATAGTACAAACAAGTCCTTTATTTTGTATTAACAACGATTGGATATTTATTTTCAGGGTTCATTTTTTTATGTAATGGAATCAGAATGTAAAAGCTTAAATTGATATTTGAATAAAAAAAAGTTAATCTGACCAGGACTTATTCAGTGAATCAAAGGCTTACATATATGTATATACATAGAGACGATGCAATAATCTTTCATATCACTTCATATATCTATTGGTTTCTATGTTCACTTTTTTTTCCAATTAATTTCTTGACATTGTCTTTTATCCAATTTTGAGAAAATGAAGTACATAGAAACCAAGCTTTGTTTGGTAACACACATTTATTCATTAATTTTCAAAACACGGAAAACACTATCAATAGCAAGTCTCGGATCCAGTAAAGCAGGGATGGACAACAGTGTTTATCATCAGCTTGAGTCCCTGACCCAGTACAGCAGGGATGGACAATAGTGTTTATCATCAGCTCAGGTCTCTGATCCAGTACAGCAGGGATAGACATGTACAATAGTGTTTATCATCAGCTCAGGTCTCTGATCCAGTACAGCAGGGATGGACAATAGTGTTTATCATCAGCTCAGGTCTCTGATCCAGTACAGCAGGGATAGACAATAGTGTTTATCATCAGCTCAAGTAGGGATGGACAATAGTGTTTATCATCAGCTCAGATCTCTGATCCAGTACAGCAGGGATGGACACTAGTGTTTATCATCAGCTCAGGTCTCTGATCCAGTACAGCAGGGATAGACAATAGTGTTTATCATCAGCTCAGGTCTCTGATCCAGTACAGCAGGGGTGGACAATAGTGTTTATCATCAGCTCAGGTCTCTGATCCAGTATAGCAGGGATGGACAATAGTATTTATCATCAGCTCAAGTTTCTGACCCAGTATAACAGGGATGGACAATAGTGTTTATCATCACCTCAAGTCCCTGACCCAGTATAGCAGGGATGGACAATAGTGTTTATCATCAGCTCAAGTCTCCGACCCAGTATAGCAGGGATGGCCAATAGTGTTTATC